GGCCACAATTAACCCGGAGTCATATATTATGAGATCACGTCGAAACTGGCCTAAGGCAACAGCTGTACATCAATTAATGCAATTAATATTCATCAGGAAATTTGCTTAGAAAGAAAATTCTCTGCCGTAAACCGGTTGTAGTTTACTGCGTAGAAATGCGACAAGATTCGCGCAAGGTCTAAGGTTACACGATTTGGCTAACAAATAACCAATTTAAAACGCTGCAAAAATTTAGAACCAATGACAAGAAGCTTCGAGAACAGAAAGAATTTTAAAAAAAATGCTTCACGCGTAGGTTCATCAAGATAAACGGTGGAAGTGCGAAAAGCGAGTTACATGCGTGGAATTCAGTAAGTGTGCGGCGGGCGAACGGCCGTATCGCTCAAATATCGAAAGCGTTCTGCACAGGAGAATACCGGGATGACGAAGCTGAAGCTGTCTCTTTTGAATGATCATGTTGACAAAAAGTAAACACAACCGACATATGAAGATTAGTGCACGCAAACTCGCCGCTCAAATGAACGAGTTGTGTTCGAGTCCCGCCCGACCTAGCGACGATGATAAAACCGGGAACCCTGAAGTGACGAACACACTAAAGCAAATATGCCACAGTGAAGCTGTCAATCAACACCAGAGAAAGAAAGCCGCAAAAACAAGCGCAACGATACATCTGAAATCTGAAGCCGTCTGCAGAAAGTTGATCAAGGAAAGGTCAACTGAACGGCGATATGATATACACCGACGACCGGTGCTTCGGCTGAGAAATTATGGCTGTGACCTCAGACTGGCAGCAATAATCTACGAATTGAGGCATCGGCTTAACCGACCGAGCAGTCCAGAAACGGGCCACATCGGATGGCAGGCGGACATGGCGAATTCTTAGTCGGCAGGCAGCTAAACGATGGCGAGAAAAAAGGCGAATGGAATGCCGATGCAAAGCATCTTGCGCTCCGCGGCGGTGAAGCGACGACGAGCGATCACTGCTTGTCTGTTGCTTCTACGGAGGCGGCGTAAGTAAGGGGTGCAAGGTGGACACTGTCACCCGCCAGCCAGCCAACCCTTGGCACTGAGGAGGGAGGCATGCACCACAGTTAGTTTGGAAGCCACAGACTGATGAACAGAGGAAGCGACCCCCCCGCTCCACCGAGTGTAATGTACAGGACAGGCGATGCGGCGGTGGCGGCAGCAACGGCGGTGGCAGCGGATGGCGCGACATGCACGACACTGGATTCGACTTGACTGAACTCGAATCGACTCCTATGCGCTCCATCCACTCGACATCAAATCTGTGTTTGCATAATGCAGCTGCGAAATGGAAAGAACGGGGCATCGGCGAACACACACAATGCCTCGACATCGCTGAAGAGCAGGCAGACCCACGGACGGACGCACGCACGCGCCGACGTTCACTCAGTCAGTTCACTCATTACCGAAAATGTAACAATGCCGAAAGAGCAGCAGCTGAGAACGAGTCTAACTCACCTCGTGTCCCCCCAGGCAAGACGAGCATCTGCTATCTGCTCCGGCCGTCAGTCGTCGTCGCTCCTCAGCTGATACGACCTGTGCACGTCGAGTTACATCGCGCGATACACAGAGGTTGCTCGAGGCACGTAACATGCGCTGCTGGTTTTTCTCTTCTCGAGGCGTAAAACGCCGTCTAACGGCGTGCCATCACAACAAAGTAGAGGAAAAGGAAGTTTATCTTAGGAAACTCATCATTTCTCGCCTCTACGCTAAAATCAAGTTTAGATCTCACCGATTCTCACCCGATCTTTTTAACGCCTACGCTGAACTCTATCCGCCAAACTCATTAAAGCAACCACAAAACACCTCCGACATAAATAACCTTCGAAATT